ATAAGGGGGTGCCAACCCATGTACAAAATTATTTACATGTTAATCAGGATATCAACAAGATTTCAAAAGTTTTCCATCGAATAAAGACGAGTGACCCAAAAGCAAAACATTCGAGGTCTGAAAGCATCTATCTTTAACCCTACCAAAATCATCTTTCATCCCTATGGAACTCCTCCTGTTTCTTTCTTTTTACACCACCAAAAATATAGCAAGGAAGATGAGATTCACATAATCCTTCCCACTGCTAATACCCTTTGAGATCCAAATCTTATCTCTAACTGAACCAACCATCACTCAACTATTCTCTAGTAATTTGTATGCCATGATTCATAACTTATATGTCAGCAGACACTAAAGTAAGATGTTCCTCCCTCTGGTATAGAAAACAACCATTCACCATAAGTTTCCCTTCTTTTTAACTTGTCAATAGTAGAAATACATCCACGTCCTGCCTCCTACACTTTCTAGATTTACCGAAAAGGAAAGCTAGTCTTAGTAGTGTCAATCTTAACCAAATAATTATAGGAAGATCTAACTGAGAAGGTCCTTATCTAGATTGGTTGGTCACTATTCCTGTCTATTGAGACAAGAGAGTGTACTTAAGAAAGACTCATACTCATTAATTTTTCAATCATTAAGGTTTCTTATCATATCCGCATGCCACTCCCTTTCCACAATATCTCTGAGTGACTCATGGATCAAGATATTCTTATGACATGCAATAGCGAAAAAGGAAATTGAACTCTGAGCGGTCCCCCCTAAGCCATGAGTCCTTCCAAAAACTAATTCTATCCCTAATGCCTACCATCCGCTTGGTGCATTCTCGTGAATATATTCCTACCCATGAATATTTTTTTTTCCACATTCCCTTCCCATGCGGTCTTGACAATTATCTAGAATACCATTCACTATTCATGGTGCTGAACTTTGTTTTTATCATCTTCTGTGATAGACTACCATTCTCTTTCATGAACCTCTAAAGCCACTTATCCTGTAAAATCAGGTACATCTCCACAATAGCTCTCAATCCAGAACCACTATGAGACATTAGTTTTTTTATCTCATCCCATGCCACCAAGTGGTGGTTTTTCTTATCATTGGAGTTGCCACAAAGAAATCTACACGGCATTGATTCCGCTCTTTTGGCAACACCAACTAGGATTATTAAAAGAGACATATAATAAATGAGTAGATTGGCCGATGTATTTTTAATGAGTGTGAGTTTCTCCCCTTTGGACAAGATGTTTCTGTTCCATCCGACTAACCTCTTCCCAGACCTTACCACGACAGGATCCCACATCTTCACATATTTATTATTGACCCCAAAGACAACCCCAGGTACTTAATCGGTAGCTCCACAATTTTACAACTCAAGACTCTTACCAACTTAGTAGCATCATTCCCATCCCCTAATCTCACTAATGCAGACTTGGAGAAGTTGATATTAAGACCTAAAACTGCTTGGAACCTCAATAAGATGCATCTAAGATTGAGCAAAGCCCCTTCATCTGGCTCATGAAACCCTAAAGTGTCATCAACAAAAAATAAATGGGTTACCTCTTGCATGTGCTCACCCACTCCCACTTTAAGGCCTTTAAACAAGTCAATCTCCCTAAGTCTTAGCATTATTTTATTCAATTCTTTTATAACAACAATAAAAAGTAAGGGAGGTAAAGGGTCATCTTGTCTAAAACCTCTAGAGGCCTTGAAAAAAGAAGATAGACTCCCATTCACCATGACCACGAAGGACATAGTGTTAATATTGGAGTTAATCCACTTATATCATTTATTTTGAAGCCCATTCTATTTAGCATATAATAAAAAAGTCTAAATGTACATGAGCGTAGCTTTCTCATATCTAACTAACATAGGACCCCTTTACTATTCCAGGATAATAAATACTGCTCTTAGGGTGAACTGGTTATGGAGATTTTTCAGGGAAGAAGATAGACTATGGAGAAAGGTCATTACTGTCAAATGGGGGGATATTCCAGGTAGAGAGGGGCCAGGCAGAATCAGTAGAAAGCAGTCTTGGGTTGTGGAGGAAAATTTTGATGGATTGGCACCAGTTTCAAAACTGTATTGAATGGAGTATCGGTTGTAGTAACAGATTCGATTTTGGAAGGATGTTTGGATTGAAGGGGGTTGTGTCATGAGCCGATTCCCAAAAATATTTGAGATAGCCCAATCTAGAAACATGGTTGTTAAGGAGGCATATAAGGAGCATAATGGTAACACGTTTTGCAAAGTGTGTCAGCAGGAATTTAAATGATTAGGAAATCCGGGAATACCAGAATTTGCTAAGTATACTGGAGGCACTAAAACTGAATAACTCTGCTAATTGTATGAAATGGACGTTGAATCAAAATGAGTTGTTTTCTGCCAAGTCATATTACTGTTTTATCAGGGGGGAAGGGGATGACATAATCTGCATCTTTCCAGCAAAACAGATCTGGAAATCTAGAGTGACACCTAGGGTTGCTTTCTTTGCTTGGGAGGCTGCCAGGTGATGTATTTTGACACAAAATAAGTTAATTTCGAGGGGTCATTATATTGTCAATAGGTGCTACCTGTGTTTGACAGCTGCGGAGTCTTGTGATCATCTTTTATTATGGTGTCCAGTGACTTCTGAATTATGGAGCATGGTGTATGGGGTCCTGGGGCTAAACTGGGTGGTGGCCAGTTCTGTCAGTGAGGAAATTTGGGCATGGTGTGGACTCAAGCTTGAAAATGATTGCAATAAATTGATTCCTCTGACTATGTTTGGGTTATTTGGAAGGAAAGAAACCTTAAAGCTTTTGAGGGAAAAAAGAATTTGATGTATAAGATTGAGAGAGGTGGTTACATTTTTTTGGGACTATGTTATTGGGGCATGCCATGATGAGAGATGAAGATTTTGGGATTGTCATTGATACCCTAACTATATTGTAAATTTACTGTATATGGGTGGTACCCATTATGGTACTATGTTTATAATAGTACATTTACACTTCTTATTTATTTATTTTTTTAAAAGAGTGAATTTGATTGAATTAAAATGCCTATCCAGTCTAAGGTTGAACTACTGGTTTTTCTTGAATCCAATACCGTTTATAAATAAGGTCCTGGCTCAATCATGGTCTTGCTTTGATGATTAAAACTTAATAGGCTTGAGGGACATTGGCTCATGGAATGTAGATAGACCCATTAATCTTGGGAGGTAAATTGTGTTTATGTTCTGTTCATTTTTGCGTGGAATATGAATAATATCACATTCCTAGGAATATAACATTGACTTATATGAGCTAATATTGATTCAAAATATAATCTCATCAGTAGCTTTGATCTTGGATTACTGTGAAAATGTTATGTTATAATTTATGGTTTTCCTAAATTGCCTTTTGTTAAGCAGTTAAGAAAAAGAATATGCAAGTATATGTGAATATTATCCATATGCGGAGAGACCAATATATTTGGAACCACCTCATTGATTGAATAAATGCACATATAATAGGTCGGCTTTTATCAAAAGAGTACTCTTGCTAACCTAGTAGCTTTATGTGGGGAGACAGTAATCTTTAGAGATTTTCTTGGTTGTGTCTTGGGATTCTGTTAAGCAACCACTCAAGGTGACTTGGCTAACATCTCTTAAGGTTTTCAATGAGTTTTTGCATGCGAAGTGGTTCTGTAGATTCGTGGTTCTAGAGGTTGCTAGCGAGTTAAAAAGTGGGTTGCAAGTGAATTTTTGATTGAATGTTTGGTGCGAGAACTTCTGTCCATGCTAGCAATTTCCATATCTTTCGAGAATGGAAATGGTTAGAAGCTTTTCAGATAGACATAATTAATCATGTCATGGTTAGGGATCGTTTCACAGTTGGATCTGATGAGATTGTTTGGGATATGGATTGTAAATGACTGGGAATTAAATGATTGCCTTCCTTTGGTGCCTTAACAACGTCTGGAGTTCTGCATTATTCTGAAGACATGTTGAATTGACAATTGAGTAAAAGGGAGATTATTTTTAAGTCCTACCACAGCCATCTATTGGCTAGGACTTCCACCTTTAAGTGTTTTCCGTGGAATCAAAAATGGAAAAGGAATCTTAACTCCACATCTCTTTTATGATTGGGAGATTGCATATGAGAGGATTCTGATGATTGATAACCATAGAAATATGGGCATTGCTTTTGGTGAATGACTGTTATTTGTGTTTGTAGCTGGGACTCCATGTTACCTACTCCTATTTCGAGTCAGTTGTGGAATATTGTCTTGGAGTTGCTTGAGATGGATTATAGGGCCTTCTATTACATCTGAAGGGCTTGGTGTAAGGTATTCAGGTTGACTAGAAGAGAGAGACCTTGACCAATGCTATCCTTTGTCCATTATTTGGTTATTTGCAGAGGATGAACTTAGGGACCTTATTGGCACTTTTATACATGCAAATGTCATCTAAATCTTTTTCCTAATGGTAGCCTCTTGATTTGTGCTATTAGGACTGAGAAAATGAAAATAGATGGAACATTTGCAAGTTGAATGTTGGTCCTTATGCAACAAACTATATACTTGCTTCTAGCAGAATAGAAAGAGGGGAGGAAACTAAAACACATTATATAGGGCAAGCTCATAATATAATGTTAATTGATTTTTCTTAGTTTATTTGTTGGTGTATGGATTTAAGTCTTTAAGATCCCTGAACTACTTTTTTGGGGTGCATCAGGCTATTATGTTTAGGAAATTTAGCTATTTCGTTTGTCTTATTTTTTCTTCCTTTATCTGTTTGGTGAATGTTTTATGTTTCGTGATAGGAAATACATGTTATGCCTAATTAAATGTATTATCTTGCAATAGTTCTCTTCTTGAGTGATTGTTCATAGCTGTTGAGTATGACTGCCACTTTGATTTGATTTTAATTTTGCTGTTATCTGTTTCATGAATGTATGATGGAGCCCTTTCCAGTTTCTGAGTTTTATGATCCTGGATTGCATTCTTTGGATGTGCACTAACCCTTTTGTTTGTTCTAGTGGACTCCAACAGGGAGACGTCTAATCACAGGCTCCCAAAGTGGGGAATTCACTCTTTGGAATGGACAATCATTTAATTTTGAGATGATTCTCCAGGTGTGCTATGCTAATCCGTGATTATCTTGTTTGGTTGAAGTATAATGGCTAATAATGGCTCTTGGTTTTCCTTTTTGTTTCCTTCTAAATCTTCAGGCCCATGATCAAGCAATAAGGTCCATGGTGTGGAGTCATAATGACAATTGGATGGTTTCTGGTGATGATGGGGGCTCGATAAAGTAATTCTATCTCCTAACCGTTTTATTATTCTATCTAGTCTTCTTTCTTTCATACTTTTCATGAATAAATTATTCTGTACTGATGTTAGGGGCATCTTTTAGGTATTGGCAGAACAATATGAACAATGTCAAGTTCAATAAATCAGCTCATAAGGAATCAGTCCGTGATTTAAGGTAGACAGTCTATCTTTTTACTCAAACAAACAGAAAATATATTTAGAGCAGTTCGTAGTGATCATTTTTCTAGAACAGTTTTTGTAGGACAGATTTGAAGTTCTGTTCCTGCTCTGATGATACCACTGTTAAAGTTTGGGACTTTGCCCGGTGCCAAGAAGAGCATTCTTTAACTGGTAATGTGATTGACTTGTGTTATGGAAACTATTTATTGCAGCAATTTAGGATATTATTTTGGATTTAATTGTATTCTTTTCTTTTGGCATCATCTTTTTTTGTTGAAGCCTCTTTGTTTTCCCTTGAATACACACCGTGATTAAGGAGCTTGATCTGCCTTTTGAAATTTGCGTTTGCATTTGCCTCAAGTTGTCTCCTGCTAAAAAAGTTTTTTTTTTTTCTTTATAATTTGTGGTCAACTTCTTTTCTCTAATAGACTATAAATCATGTCCAAATGAACATGGGCTTCCCCTACAAACATGACTTCTGAAACTAAAACCCTAAATATTTTATTTTCTTTTTGTGAAAAAAAATCATGGAGGGAGTACAGCTTTGCGAAAATTTTCTCCTTTTTGCACTGGTTGTCTTTGTCGGTTAGTCCTAGCTTTGGTGAGACAGCCATGCAATCAAACCCTCCTATCTAGTCCATTGAATCAAAATCCTTCTGATGTGGTGTTGGAAGGTGAGATCATAGGTGCCCTATGTATCATTTAGAATGTCTTTTGCAATAGATTCTTTATCCTCTTTTTTACTTTAAGAATAAATGACTTTTAGTAAATTTTTTTGGGTCAGAAGAAAAAACTCCCAGAGTAGGCACCTTAAGAGTGGACTTTTGGTTAGGGCCTTTGAAGGGGTGGAAGAAATTTAATACTATTAGAAATAGATGGATTTATATTTTTGGTTCTACATTTTTGGAATATGATATTAATGATTTGGAAGATTTTGGGATGGTAATGGATCAATTAATGTAAATGCATTTTAAATGGGCAGTACCCCCTTGGTTCCGTTTAATATAATACTACACTTTTATTTAAAAAAAAAGAAGAGCGTGGATAACACTCAGTCACTATCTCTAGAAGAGGGTAGCTGCTTGGAGCTTAGAGAGCAATGCTGGTGGAAGAAGAAGGATATATTTTCTATTGGGCATTGAGGTGGATGGCTGTTGGAGTTGTTATTGGCAGTAAATACGGTCTATGGTCTGAGTTTAGAAAAAAGAAGGAAAGAGGTGATGGGGGATGCGATGTGGTTTGACCACGAAGAGCACATCAATGAGCATGATTTATTTTGTAGCCAGGAAGTAAGTGCAGCTCCATAGGTGTTGAAGAGTGGTACCTCTCCCTGGTTTGTAACTAATCAACCGAGGCTTAGGAGAGCGTGAATATGCCCTACTCGAATGAGCTTTCTGTCAGGACTTGCCTTGGACATTTGATTCACCAAAACCAGAATTTAGAAAAATGTTGAGTTTAAATATTTGTGGGTATTTTTGAGAAATTAGAAAGGTTGGGGCAGATTCTGAAATTAAAGAGATAGAGAGGACTGAATGGGAATTTTTCAGAAAAGAAAAAGAAGATTTTTGAAAGAGAGAAGAGGGCTGTCGGGGAGAGAGAAAAGAGGAGAGAGAGAGAGATGGTGTCGGGGAAGAGATAAGAAAGAGAGTTTGAGAGAGAGAGGAAAGTCTTTAAAGAGAGAGAATATAGATATGTGAAAGAGAGAATATTTGGGAGAGAGAAGGACTGGTTTTAGAGAGAGAAAAAGCTGTTAGAGAGAGAAAGAAGCTGTTAGAGAGAGAAAATGCAGAAATGTGATATTTTATTGCTTGAATTCCATCAATACATTGCTCGATCCACTATCACATATTTTTATACATGAATCGGTGTAAATTTCTTCATTTTGATTCGCCAAACATCGCCGGAAGTCACTGTTCAGAGTTGGGGACATGTTGATTAAAGGAAGAAGACGAACAGGCATGAGCCGGTTCAAGACTGAAGCAGCTGCGGTTTAGCGGAGAGAGTCGGCTTGGTTCGTGCAGCAACGATGATGGTTCAGAATGGTTCGACGTTTCAGTTTTTTGGTTTGCTTCAGATGCTGCCACATAGCTGTTAGGAGGGGATTCTGTGAAGTCAGATTCATTTTTCTCTTCCTGCTCCTTATTTTTTAATTCTCTGTATCTTGGCTCATTCTGTGGTGTTTGCATCCGGTTCTCAACACTTCCAAAGTTTGCACCCCCTAAATCCAAACCCAAGCCCTAGCCCTAGCGTAAACTATCATGGCCAAGGAGTAGTTTGCAGCTGCTAAACCCAAAAGAACTGGACTTCAAAGGGGCTAAACCCAAAAGAACTGAACTTCAAAGGGATGAAGACAGCCAATATACACATTTTACAATTAATTACTTTTCTTTTAGAGGAAAGTTTGACAACTAATTTGTAGTAAAGTAACAAAAACAAAATCTAATAATATCAAATATAGCTGTTAATAACAAAAATAACAGCTAATATAGCTATTGTTGTTGACCAAATCTAGAATTAAATGTTGAGAATATTTTTATAATCATGAATTAAATGCACAATATTTCCAAAACTTCCCCTCAAGTGAGGTTGAAAATGTTATTCATCTCAAGCTTGGAAACTTATGTCTTCAAACCTTTTTCGAGGCGAAGCTTTGGTTAGGATGTTTGGAACCTGTGACTTTGTTTGTTTGCAGAGCAGTTGGACACATTGCCTTCTACTTTTTCTTTTATGGAGTGATGATCATCTCAACATGTTTGGCTTTGTCGATGA